GAAATCATATTGTGTAATCCCCGTTCCCTAAACAAAGTGTACTTTGAATATTGAGCTTTTATTGGATTTAAGCAGATTCTCAATTTGAGAAGTGCCTCGCAGATTAGGGTTGCTTGCCCGAAACTGCGTTATAAATATTTGTGTCACAACGTCTGTTCCAACGTTACCAAGTCCAAACGTCTATATTTATTTTCAATTGGTATCAGAGCGGGTCTGCTCAAGTTACTAGCAGGATCCAAATGGAATTCCCAAGAGAAGGTCTTTCAAAAAATTGACCACCGGCTCTACTTGGCACAAACTTCTCCTACTGGAAAGCTCGAATGCAGATATACATTCTAGCACAAGGAGAAGGTGTCTGGAATGCAATCGAAAACGAGTGGAAAACTCCAGTCGATGACAAAGGGAATGCAAAACCTAGAATTGATTGGAGTGAAGAAGAGAGAACTGAATATGACTTCAACTCAAAGGCTATGAATGCAATATATGGAGCAGTAAGCGAAGACACTTTTAAACTAATTGCATCAACTCGCATAGCCAAAATTGCATGGAGTATATTGTGCGATCATCATGAGGGAAACACAACTGTAAGACAATCTAAGCTTCAGATGATACAAACTGAATTTGAAAACCTGAAAATGGAAGAGGAAGAAAACATCACCCAATTCAGTGCCAGAGTTTTAAGTATATCCGGAGATGCATTCAACCTAGGCGAACCTATACCCGAACATAGGATCGTCAAAAAGGTACTACGCTCACTACCTGGGAGATTCCAAATGAAAGTCACCGCTATTCAAGAAAATAAAGATCTGAATACATACAGACTTAGTGACCTAATAGGAAATCTTCAAACCTATGAACTTGAGATGCTACAAAGTCAGAAAAACAATGGTAAAGGAATAGCATTACAATCCAGACAAGAAGAGAACTCAGAAGCTAATTCAGAAACCATGGAACAGTCAATTGCCCTAGTGACAAAGAATTTTAACCGAATAAAAATTTCTCAAACAACCAAGGAAATTCTACGAATCAAAAACCATCCAATCCAAGGAGAAGAGATAATACAATTACAGAAGGAATACAATGCTATGAATGCAAAGGCTTTGGACACATTCAATCAGAATGTGCCACATACTTGAAAAGGAAAAATAAAACATATATAACAACTCTGAGCGATGACTCAGATAGTGAAGAAGATGACAGCAACACAAACTTCGTAGCCTTCACTGCTGGTCATGAAGACAACAATGGTGATGACATGCAAGAATTACTAGAAGCATACACTCAACTAAATGCCAAGTGGGAACAGATCATCAAGAAAAATTTAGAACTCATGGAAGATAATCATTATCTAAAAAATGAAAAGGAACGAATAGAAAAGCAATACAAGGAAACACAACACGAACTGTTAGATGTCAAAAACAGAGAAGCTAAACTACTACAAGAAATCAAGGAACTCACCGAAAGACCGAGGACCCCGAACACGGACACCAGTGAGAGCCATCAAACCGAGATACAGGAAGTGTCGCAACAGCACTTCCGACACCGAAGAAGAATAAGGTGCTACTATTGCCACAAACTGGGACATATCAAAGCACACTGCTATAAAAGACAGAATGGTCTTTACTATAGACCAAACAACAGAGTGTGGCCAACACACAACAGATATAATAGTAAGAAAATCTGGGTAAGAAAAGATCAAAATATTGCATATACCTCCAAAACAAGCAAAGAACAAGATATATGGTATTTTGACAGCGGATGCTCCAGGCATATGACCGGAAATCCAGAAAATTTAGAGAACATACAATATAAAAATGAAGGACATGTTACCTTTGGAGATGGAGGAAAAGGAAGAATTATTGCAAGAGGAATCTTGAACGTACATGGGCTGCCGAAGTTGTCAAACGTCTTCTTAGTACAAGGATTAAAAGCAAACCTGATCAGTATAAGTCAACTATGTGAAGATGAACTTAAAGTGGAATTTTCAAGGAACAGTTGCAACGTTCTCAACCAAAATCATGAATGTGTTATGATCGGAAGAAAATCCACAAATAAATGCTACACTTGGGACAGTGATCTAACTTGTTTACAGACAACCGTCAACCAAACACAATTATGGCACCAACGAATGGGGCACATAAACTTTCATGACATGAAGAAGGGTTTAAAGAAGGGAGCTTATCGAGGAGTTCCAACACTCGACATAGATGAAAACAAAAAATGTGATGCATGCCTTGAAAACAAAATAACACGAACGAGCCACAAGAAAACCTCGGGAATACACACTTCTAGAATCCTAGAACTACTACACATGGACCTATTTGGACCAACTCAGACAGAAAGTATAGAAGGGAAGATATATGTCTATGTAACAGTCGATGATTACTCACGATTCACATGGGTAAACTTTCTTAGAGAAAAAATCTGAAGCATTCACAATATTCAAAACCCTCATTATCAAAATCCAGAATGAAAAGGATGGAAGAATAGGAAAAATCATTCGACTAAGAAGTGATCATGGAAGAGAGTTCGAGAACTCAAAATTCAAAGAATACTGCACAGAGAATGGAATTCATCATGAGTTTTCCGCACCAAAGACACCCCAACAGAATGGAGTAGTTGAACGGAAGAATCGAACTATCCAAGAAATGGCAAGAGTTCTCTTAAATCACAAGAAACTTCCATCAAAATTTTGGGCAGAAGCAGTCAATACAGCATGCTACTTGATAAATCGCGTATTTATACGAAAAGACACCAACATAACACCCTATCAAATTTGGAAAGGAAAAACACCAAATTTAAAACACACATATGTGTTTGGCAGTAAATGCTATATACTAAAAGATAGAGACTCATTGGGAAAATTTGTCATCAAAGGAGATGAAGGGATTTTTCTGGGTTACTCCTCAAACAGCCGGGCATATCGAGTATTTAATCTTAGAACAGACACTGTCATGGAGTCTATAAATTTTGTGGTCAATGACACAACATTAGAAGACCTCCCCTCCAGTGATGACGAGATAACTGATGTTGAAACAACAGTTCCAACACCACAGAACCAGAAATCTGAAACAAAAAAAAGAAGAAGCTGAAAATCTTGAGAAAAATAAGGGAACCCTCACTACTGATGAGACAAGGATACAGAAATATCACCCAGTAGAAAACATTATAGGAGGACTCAATGAAGGAGTCAGAATTAGATGAAAGAAACGAGACTATCAAAAAATGGAAGAAGGAGACTACGACTACTGCTACACCTCAAAAATAGAACCCAAAAACATCACGGAAGCCTTAAAAGATGAGTTTTGGGTGGAAGCCATGCATGAAGAGTTACAACAGTTCGAAAGAAACAATGTCTGGCAGTTAGTTTCTAAACCAGAGAACGCCAACATCATAGAGACAAAATGGATCTACAACAATAAAACAGATGAACAAGGAAACATTATACGAAACAAAGCCCAACTAGTAGCACAAGGATACACTCAAGTAGAAGGAACAGATTTTGAGGAAACATTTGCTCCAGTAGCCAGAATAGAGTCAATCCGACTTCTCATCGCAATAGCTTGCATACTCAAGATAAAGCTATACCAAATGGACGTAAAAACAGCTTTCTTAAATGGAAACCTAAAAGAAGAAGTCTATGTTGCTCAACCAAAAGGATTTGAGGACCCCCACCTCCCACAAAATGTGTTCAAACTCAACAAAGCCCTATATGGTCTAAAACAAGCACCACGTGCCTGGTAAGAACGTCTCACTGAATTTCTAATTAAAAAGGGTTACAATAGAGGAAGTGTGGATAAAACCCTATTTGTCAAACACTATGGACAAAACATCGTCATAGCTCAAATCTACGTCGATGACATAGTCTTCGGATCAACAATCGAGAACTACAAAGATCAGTTCATCGCTAATATGGAAGGAGAATTTGAAATGAGCATGGTAGGAGAATTAAACTATTTCCTTGGATTACAAATCAAACAACAAGACAATGGAATCTTTATGTCGCAAAGCAAATATGCCAAAAATCTTGTTAAAAGATTCGGTCTAGAAGAAAGCAAAAATGTCAGAACACCTGTTCCAACAACAGAAAGAATCTCAAAAGATTCAGAAGGGAAACCTGTAGAACAAACACTATATCAAAGCATGATAGGCGGATTACTATACTTAACTGCAAGCAGGCCAGACCTAAGCTTTGCAGTAGGAATCTGTGCAAGGTACCAAGCCAATCCAACAGAGCAACATTTAAAAGCAGTAAAAAGAATTATCAAATATGTGAAAGGAACCTCTGACCTAGGGATATGGTACTCTTTCGACACCAACCATCATCTATCAGCATATTGTGATGCCGATTGGGCAGGAAGCATAGATGACAGGAAAAGCACCTCAGGATGATGTTTCTTCCTAGGTACAAACCTAGTATCATGGATCAGTAAGAAACAAAGCTCTATATCCCTATCAACAGCCGAGGCTGAGTACATTGCAGTAGGGAGTTGTTGCACACAACTACTATGGATGAAACAAATGCTAGAAGACTATTGAATGCATCAGTCAACTATGATCATTCATTGCGATAATAAAAGCGCAATAGATATTTCAAAAAATCCAGTACAACACTCAAGAACAAAACATATTGACACCAGGCATCACTTCATCAGAGAGCTTGTAGAAGATGAAATAATCAGTCTCACTCATATAAGTACAGAAAAACAACTAGCAGACATCTTAACAAAAGCACTAGACGGAAACAGATATACAAAATTAAGGGCCGAAATAGGCCTATGCGTTTTATGAACTACTCAATCAAGGAAACACATGGGTCGTATTCACAAAATAAGCCCACTATCATCCCTATCATGTCAAGTAAGTAAGCCCATGTCACTAAGCCCAAAAACCCGAATCCATCACCTCAAATATACCCAAATCAAAAAACAGAGTCGTCACTCTCACCCGGCGTCTACTCGAGAAATCTTCGCACACCTTCACACTCAACAAAAACAACAATGGTGAGAACCAGAAATCAGAGAAAGGGAAAGATACCTCGAAAAGGAGTCACTGGTAGCACCTCTCAATACACGGGCACTGGCAAATCCTCGAGTCCACTATGTGTCGATGATGAAAGCCCTCCAACCGTAGCAACAAATCCAGTCCTAATTTCAAGAGTTCCCTTCGGCGAGCCTCAAGAACAGAGCAACACCTCACCAGGTAACCCAAATCTCCCTCTAGCTAGTCATGATGAACAGCCTGATAGTATGCCCATTGCGGCTGATTTTGGGGACAACCGAATTGTCGACCCAAACGATCTAGTAGTACAACTTAGGTTTGCCATAAATCGCGGTTGGGAACCCGATTTATCGTCTTACGTAAGCTCCGAAGAAGAAATAAATTCAAGAGAGCCTGAAGCAGAGGAACACGAAGAACCCTTGAACCAAGAGGCAAATCATTCCCCCACTCCTCATACCGAAGAACATACCCCAACTATTGAATCCCCCATTCCAACTTCTCGGGTCAATGAAAACCCTAGAAAAAGGAAGAAACCCGACCCGTATGAAGGAGCTGATCCTAGGGCCAAAAGGCCAAATGATTTTCCAATACGGGCAGGACCCCCTCAACGACAGCCAAATATCCCTCCTAAACCCTCAAAAACCAAGAAATCAAAAAGGACACCAACAGAGGATGAACAGGACTGGACACCAAATGAAGATAATGATACTCCTGGTGATGAAAGAGTAAGAACCCGAGCTCAAAAGAATTCCCAGCTATCTACCAATGAGAAAGAAAAACAAAAGACGAAAACAACCACCAAAAGGGATAAACTGTCTAGCAAGGAAAAGGGAAAACAGAAAGTAGTTACTAATGCTGACATGTCAAACCTACCAAAACCCCACAGTACAACCATTTTGAGAAAAGAAGCAGTAAGCTTATGGAAAAGAATAGTGGAGAGAAAAATCATTAGCCAAAAACTGCTTATCATAGATAAGCTAGACAATCCAGAACAGATTCAAGAAATATTGATCACAAACCAACTCCTGGGAACAGTGACCAATATTGAGCCCTATGATGAACAGGTTATACAGGAGTTCTACTGCAATCTGACAAAAACCATCTCTACACCTAGTAGTCCTTTGTATGGAAAGGTATACGTGAGAGGCAACTTCTATGACTTCAGACCAGACATCATCAACAGATATCTAGGAACACCAGAGGCAGAACAAAACATGGAAATAAACAGTGAGCAAGTTGCACAAGAACTCACAGCTGGAAATGTCATTTTTGAAAAGAACAAGATCAAGGCAGCATCCCTAACAAGCAAATATGCCATCCTCCAGAAAATAGCTCTAGCAAACTGGATGCCATCATTACATGAATCCACTGTGAAATGGACCTTAGCAGAGCTACTATACAAGATAGGGAAAGGAGTTAAACTCAACATGGGTGTCATTATCTATTCACAAATCACAAATCTAGCTGAAGACACAAAATCCAACACCTCGATTTTTCCAAACCTCATCTTTGGCATCTTGACAAAACAAAGTCTCAAAACACATGGCCCAAAAACCATTGTCAAGAACTTCAACACCACAGTAAAATTAAGGAAGGGAAACCATCAAAATGACCTAAGGACCTCAGCCCCAAAGAACAATCCACTAGACTCCAAGACACTAATCACGTATTTTGAGGGAAGACTAACAGAATTGGAAATCTCAGAAAAACAAATCCTAAGGAAACACATGGACATCAAGGAAGAAAGAGCAGAGATATCAGAATGGTTAACAATCCTAAAAGCAGATAATGAAGAAGATCATGAGGAAGATCAAGGATCAGAAGAAGAAAGCCAAGAGCACTCTCAAGAAAAGGGTGTTGAAACCCCTGTTTCAACATCAAATTCAGAAAATAGACCTTGACCTTTTAGCAAAAAAGGGGGAGAAAAAGGCAGAACTTTTTGTTGTGTTGTGTGGCAAACATTTTTTTGTATGGCACAGTTTCTGGTATAGTTACTCTAGTTTTTGTTACAGGCAGATCAGACAAGAAAACCAAGCAAATGTTTGAAAGCCCAGCTCATATGCACCCCAATGACTCTTGTGTCATTTAAATTGTGACCTGAAAAATGTAAAATACCTTTATCTGGTATATATTATCCTCTCTTTACATGTGCATACCATTTACCATTAGGGCCCAGGATGCATCCTAATATTAGCTAACTAGCCCAACTCTTGCATATACTGAAAGGCAAGAGCATAACTGTATCCAATGGCCCACAAATTAAGGGGGAGACAATCTCTCTTAACAATCCCTCAAGAGACAAGATACATCAGGTTAAGAAGGAGATCTACAAATTAAGGGGGAGACAAATCACACGTGACAATCCTTGAGAAGATTCAAGATGAACCAAAGTTTTTGCTAAAATTTGACAAAGGGGGAGAATGTTGACTTGTGTCAAATTCTAGTCAAAAGGGGAATTATAAGATAATCAAGGATTAGGATGTATATTCCTAATCTAAATAGGAATAGCAATCCTATTCCTATCCATCATGCAACACTCGGCCTACAAAAGGAGCTGCACCACAATTCTTTCAGACACGCTTTCAGCACCTAATTGTGAGCACGAGAGTCATTGAGAATAGATACCCAAATCCCCTTGAAAAGTAGTACAAGTGTTTAGGTCTCAATAGCTTGATAGGAAATCATATTGTGTAATCCCCGTTCCCTAAACAAAGTGTACTTTGAATATTGAGCTTTTAGTGGATTTAGGCAGATTCTCAATTTGAGAAGTGCCTCGCAGATTAGGGCTGCTTGCCCGAAAGTGCGTTATAAATATTTGTGTCACAACGTCTGTTCCAATGTTACCAAGTCCAAATGTCTATATTTATTTTCAATATATATATATATATATATATATATATATATATATATATATATATATATATATATATATATATATATATATATATATATATATATATATATATATATAGATGTGTATTCAAATGAGGACAAGTATATTATAGAGGACAGTGAAGACAAATGTAGTGTGTGTCATTAGCCTGTATGTCGTGTGCGTGGCTGAATGTAGTCGTGTGTCATAGTTTGTATGTCGTGTGCATATGTTTGTTAATTAATAGAGCTTGGGTTCGAAACCTAATGTTTACATCTATGTTTGTGTGCCATTGTGTATTAAATTGTGTGCCTGGTAATGATTTGTTGTGTGCCCAATATTTGTCTGCACAGTCCTCTATATATATATATATATATTGTTGTCCTCTTTTATTAGATTAGACATTCGCATGGGCGGCTCAATAAGACCAAGGCCAAACCCGTCACCCAGAATCTCGGAAAACTCCCGTTGATTAAGTAGACGTGAAGACCAACCACGAAGACCAGGAATAGACCGGGGAACCGAGCGCGCAACGTGTACAATGCGATCCACGTAAAACAACTGAAAAAAAAACAAAAATAATAACGACATTAATTGTAACGACATAGTGGGAAAGAACAAAACAAAAAACACCAAAAAGAATAAATAACACCCGGAATACCTAACAAACTCAGCCGGCCCAAGAAAGAACTTATGCCGACCAGAACGCCAGGCAGTCTGCGTCTCAACCAACGTGTCGACCACAAGCTTGCACCAATTTAAGTTGCGCACACTAGACACATCGTCAAAGTGGTGCCGATACATCTCGTGAGCGTAGCCGTTACATGTACAAGAAACCATTGTGGAGAGCACCAACATAAGAAAATGGCGCTTAAACCAATCCACCGCAGCAACCATCCGAACACTAATCTCTGCATGGGAAACCATGTACTTGGACTTCTGGAATTAACCTCTCCAGTGCTTCAAAGTATTGTTAAACTTACGTCTATCACGCTGAACCATATCATCACGACCACACGGGAACCCCAAAATCAACTCCACATCACCCTCATCTACCACCAACGATCTCCCGCCACCATGATTATAGAGCAACCACTGCAGACGGCATGGAGGAAGTTCCTCAACCTTGAACTCCAACAAAGCCCCAAACCTGAGGTCCCGAATGTCAGACTTCTGTTGAAAGCTCAAGTCTTTCAGGGCATTAACCAATACCACAGACTGCGTCCTCATCTTCGTTGTAGGATACATAGCACCCTCCTCAGGAGTGAGTTCATGATCAGACGCATTCTCCTGTGGGGGCTCATGCGGAATCCTGGGATGGACTGGCCTAGGCGGCGACACAAAGTCACTATCATCCTTAGATATTCCCGAAGGACCCGCATCTGACTAAGCGCGTTTGGGTTTTTTTAGCTGCACAAACAATCCAACACGCACAAGCACATGATGTGACACCCCGAAATCCAAATTCAATTAATGGATTAATTGAGTAATTAATCCTATTTCAATTTGTAATTTAATTCCTTAAATTCCTGAAATTTAATAGTTGAGGACTAGTAATTGACTAGTCAACCCCAAAGTCAAAGTTGAACCTTGAGCTTTGTAAGGAGTTCCCTTGTTCCTTACACTTCCTAATGTTAGTAAGGGCATTCTTGACCTTTCACTTGTTGTTGGTAATGTAACCTAACCTAGTAGAACACCTTCATTCTCTCCTTACACTTTTCTAAAAATCTAGCTCCACCCTCTCTCTAAAAGGTGAGTAGCTTTTCTTCCAAGCCAAGTTGGAACCTTGCCAAAACTTCAAGAGTTGCTTCCAAGATTCAACCTTTCTTATATTTGGGCATCTAGGATGGTAAGATCTAAGTTCATCTTGTGTTTTTTGTTTTATCTAAGGTGTCTTTTCTTAAAGATAGGATCTTTATGATCTTTTGGTATGTTCTTGAAGTGGGTTTGGAAGGTGAGCCCTGTGAGGAGCTTGTTGAGGTGTAAAGTGAAGTCTTTAGTCTACAAGAGGTAACCCATGCTCTACAAAATCTATTTTTCTTACCTATATGTGATTTCTTGGATTCTACATGTGTTTTGCTATGAAATGTGAGTGTTTATGCATTGTCTTGTGAAAATGCATATCTAGAGCTTGTGTTTAGGGTTCTATTGTGCCATTGCTTGGCATTTCCTTTGATTCAAGTCATTTTGTTGTATTTGGTGAGATTTGGCATGTTTTGGACTTGAATTTGAGTTTGGAGATGAAAATCCTCGAAGGGATTTATTGTGGTACAGGGATGTACCCGCGGGCGCAACGGCGGGTAGGGGTCCAACCCGCCGCCCACCCGCGGGGTACATTGGTCGGGCAGCCTGTACCCGCGGGTAGAGGCCTACCCGTGGGCCTACCCGCTGGTACGTATTGTGATGTTGATGGGGATTTGTTCCCCGTGATTCTTTTGACTCGGTATTTGGTCTTTTGACTTCCCGAGGTTCTTTTGTGGAACTATTTGAGTGTCTTCTTGATGTTTTGTATGTCTAGAACTATATGGTAGGAATCCATATAGGTTTTGGTGTCGTGAATCGTGCTATGTGTTCAACATTGTGTTTCGTTAAACCGTGATGAGTCTTGTGTGTTCTTCGGAACTATGTTTGGTTTACCCGTTTGATAAGCATGCTAGTTCGGTGTTTAAATGCTAGCGTGTGTGTTGTTTGTACCTTCCTATTGGTTGATGATAACTTGTGTTATTCATCGTTGTTGTTGTTGGACTGTGATCCATTCCTTGATTGAGTATGGTTTCATATCATCGTTGTGATCCGTTCATTGATTCCTGTTGAGGTGTGATGTGTGTGTGGCTTTACCTGGATTGCACGATTAGTGGTATGGGACACTAGTCACCAAGGTATTGCAGAGGTCCTCGTGGTGGCCGTGACGTGATTATGGAGTTTGTGACCTTTGTGTGAAGTTCACGTATTTCTTGGGAGGCATGTGTTGCCGTGTGTGTGTACGGTACCCTCGTGTACTATGAAATTGGTGGTCTCGTTGGTGGTCGTTGGCGGATGGGGACGATGGTCCTCGGAGGGAAAAGGTTGGACTTGGTTGTACAGGGGTCCTGGAGGTAATGGTTGGAAGAAGAAATAAGGTTGGGGGTAGCCATAAGGTTGGAACCGGGCATAAGGAAGGCATATCAACTCGTGACGGGTGATGTCACGAGAGTTTGTGTAGCCGTTGTTGTGAGTTTTTTTCTTGTGACGTGTGTAGTCACAAAGGTAAGTGTTGCCTTGGCATGTGTTGCCGTGGGTGAGTCTTATTCCTTTGCGTTGTGCATGTCGGGTTTTGATCTATTGTGTGATGATAGATCATACCTTGAGACTTCTTGTGAGTCGTGTTGTTCTTTGTGGTCTTGGGATGTGTTCCCGTGTTGTTGTTGAGAGTGTTGAGTCTTGTGTTGACTATTGCTCTTGGTTTTGTACTGATATACTTATGTATTCCGTTTCGAAAATGGCTTTACAACTTATACCTTATCTATGTATGTTATTTCACATGTATTGGTGGGTTACCAGCATTATTCGCTGACCGGGCGTCGTCCCATGTTTTATTATGTTCTTTCAGGTGATGTCTAGACGAGTGCGCGGTCTAGTGCTTGCTAGTATAGCTTCTCCCTCTTGTTTTGTGGCCTGTGTGCCAGTTTAGTTGTAGACCTTTGAGACTATGGATTAGATGTAAACAATGCAGATATTGCCGTAGCGTTCATCCTTTTGGTGAACGTGGCATAACACCCCGTGATTGGATTTATGTCTATCTAGTTATTTTTCAGTCTTCCGCTGTGTTTGTTGTTTAGTTCAGTTATCTACATGTTTAAGGCTTTTAAATAGCTTGTTTTTAGGGGGTGTTACACATGAAGTAACCACAAAACCAAAAAAAACAAAAATGACATCAAACTAATGACTATGCACACATTTGCACGCAAAAGTTCACACACCTGAGTAAAATAACAAACAAAATAACCACACCATAGATCACAACCCGCTAATAACCTAGGTCAAATTGTA